TAATGCAATTAATATCACACATAAACTGTTAGTAACAAGAACATATTTGAGTTAAGTTAATACCTTTATTTTTTGAGCTTCAGGGTCAGGCATCAGAACTGAACAACTCATTGCATTACGGCCATGTACACCACAATCGGTACAACAATAAGATGTTTGTGTCCTTCCCTTGTTAGGGTTCTTATAAGGTTCCATCCTTCTCAATTTCTTTGGCCTTTCAGGGCCTTTTTTATATGATGGAGGCAACATCTCTCCAATTTCAACCTCATGCCACATATCTTGGCCATTAATTGGGATAACATTGCAATCATAGCATACCACATATGTTTCCTTTGAATAATAGTCATCCACATAGTCTTTTTGGAATTGACTCCTAAAACCTAATGCAGATACTGTATATCTACATGGTATGCCTACCAACTCCCAGAAGTTACAGGTGCATGTTGTTTTATAAGTGTTCACTATGAAACTATGACTGATATGAGTATGTTCAACTTGCCATATTGTATCACCAGACCAATTTGGAATCCAATTACCAGCATGTTATACTTCTTTATCTAACCTAATTCTAGGTCTTGGCATTTATTTTATGTTGCCACCTATCAACGTTTTCTCTTAAGCTAGCATTTCTATCCATGATGTATTTTTCTTATCCATTCACACATGGTTAAGATTGGTTAATCCCTAACCACTAGTATTGTGCTATTAAAAGCTTCAGATACATTATTCATTAGCACATCAAATTTTGGATAGAATGAGAAATCATGCTTACACCATGATTTTGTAGGTATTTTGTTCAACCACTTCCAAGCCTTCGGATTAAGCACCTTCAAATCTTTCATCTTAGCTTCACATGCTTGTATATATGTGGCATTTATTAGTCATCATAAAATCTATAATTTGTGTCCCTCCTCCGAAATTCTTTTTGAAATTGACATATAAATGCCTAAGACAAAGCCTATGTTCCACCCTCTCAAACATCTCTTCAAATATATGAATTAAGCCATTGAAATCAAAACATATAGTCATATTAGGTATCGAATCTAAACAAACAGACATATTATATGGATGAAATCCACACAAACAGTTCTTTGTTAAGGACCATTTCAAAACAAACAGATATACCAAGGGATGAAATCCAAAAAAAATAATTTATATGTCAAGGACCAAATCTAAACAAACTTACATATTTCAAGGATAAACTATAACAATCAAACAATACTTAGGGATGAAATTCATAAAATACAATAGATATGAAAAGTACCTTTTGTTGGTCTGATATGAAAACCCATCTTTTATCTTTTCCAAATGTCTTCCAAAAGCAAAGTCAGAAACCACCTCCATGATTCCTTTGTTTCAGTCTCACATACACCAAAAGTCAAGGGGTAATATTAGTCGTTTGGGTCCTTTCCAACAACAATAAGCAAGGTGCCTCCATATTTTGTCTTGAGGTGACATCCATCAACATCAATGAATGGCCTGCAAACTATGGTGAATCTCTCCTTAACTTCATCAAAGCAGAAATAAAAGCACCCAAATCTTGTATGTATTGTGGATCCAACTCTTATCACATTAATTTTACAAGTATTCTCTGCATTGACCCTCTTTAACTCTGCAGAATACCTCCATAATAATGTATATTTCTTTGTTACATCACCTTCAATGAAAGCTTTTTCAATTTTCTTAGCCTTCCATGCCCTGCTCATAGTTATACCTACATAGTAAGTACTCCTAATCTCAGAAACAATATCATGAAGCTTGATTCCACCAGATGATGCCATCCTAGCCGCCACATCCTTAGCAATCCACTTGGAGTTAGTAGTAATGTTATTCAAAACCCTACCACACGTGTGAGCACCAAACCATCTCTTCATTATGCTTATTCCCAACTTTACTAACAAGATTCAAAAACCCATATTTGCCCTTGCAAACTACCCTCACTCTAACCTTGTCAATTTTCACATACTTTTTTCTCTCTTCCATTTAATACTAACCATTTGATAATTGCCTCCTTAAATTCATTTAGAGATACAAACTCCAAACTCACTTTGAACTTGTAGTTCTTGTCCAACTCTTCCATCTTAAACCTAGGATACTTTGGTCTTTTCTCTTCATCTGATGCATCAGGATCACTACTCTCAAGATCATCACTTACATAATTAGTTTCCATATCTCCATCACCAACACTAACACCATTAGATGATCCTCATCCAAGCCAAGTGGTTGTTAGAGTATTCTTGTGTTTCCTAACTATGTGCTTAACCCTTTTGCCACCATATAGTTTGTCCACTAGATCAATTCCATCATCCAAGCCAAGAGCCATTTCACCCTCACTGTCCTCAAATGATAAACCATTTCCTTCAAAATCATTATCATCATTGTCTTCACTATCATCACCACCATCTCCATCTTCTTCAACATATTAAGATTAAGGTTATGCTAACATGTGCCCTAAGAGAACATGTTAAGAATACTATAATTATAAAAATTTAAATATAATTAAATATAATAAAGTCATATTTAAAATTTCAAAACATTGAATGTACACGTTTCAAGAGAATGTTTTTATAAATAACTTATTAACTTGTGCCCTTATGGAACATGTTAGCTTTTCCCTTAAGATTATTATCAACATTAACATTTGCAACATCATTATCAACATTTACATTAACATCAACATCATTAACATTAACAACATCACCATCAATAATAACATTAACATCATCATCATCATCATCAATATTATCAACATTATCAATAACATTAACACCATCAACATTAGCTTCAACGTTAACTTCTACATTAGCTTCAACATTATCATCATTATCAACATTATCATTATTATCATCATTATCAACATTATCAACTATAATTAATATATGCTCAACAAATAAGTTCACACTACAACTTGTTTCAACAACTATTTCATAAACCTCAGTAGTATCATTATCAATATCCATTCTTTTATGCTTACCCAAAATAATATTATATCACCATAACCAATAATCCGAATACTCAAGATTGCAAAATTCTTTCACAATACCAGTTGCTTCAAAGAAACTCCACCTATCAGAGTCAATGTTAAACCAAATGTCAAGTCATTACCTTCTGCCACCTCAACATTTTTTAAACAGACCATTAATAACAGGGAATAACGTCAATAAAAAATAGACATATAGAAACCTACATAAAAAAATATTCAAAGATTAAAGGCTTAATTACAACTTTGGTCCCCTATTTAATCTTTCTCTTGATTTTGATACCCCCACTTTAAACACTACTATTTTAATCTCTTTTTCAATTTTTGTGTTTGAATTTAGTCCTCCATTCAATTTGGTGCTTATTTACAGTGATTTGGCGCAATTTTAGTTGAGTTGCCACATCATGTTTTATCCACGTCATTTTTTTTATATTTTTTAATTAATAATTATTAGAATTTTTAAAGCCAAAATTTAAAAAAAAAATGATTCTAACAAGATTTAAACTTTAGACCCTTGGCATTAGAAAGAGGCGCCTAACCACTAAGCTATGGATGTTTCTTTGTTAAACACTTGAAACAAATATATGTAATACATAAAAAAATACGCCTAACCATTTGGATGATAATAGGCATAACTTGATGCATTTCGAGCACGTCCACCTGTAACATATACTTCTTGTCCACCTGTAATTTACATAATTTCGCAAATAATTATTTTTCTCTCTTTTCCAAACTTCTTATTGTTAAATAAAAATTACACAGACAAACATAAAAATTAAAATGAAGTGATTATTAGATGAGCTTCCAAACTTCTCATTTCACAAATTATTATTTTTCTCTCTTTTCCAAACTTCTCTCTTTTCTTTTAATCAAATGCTTGACAAAAAAAGGAAGAGAGAGAGTATCCAAGTTTGCTTGTCTGACATATCATTGATGATCATGAACCACAAGCTTTTGCAGATGAGCTTGGTATTCCTTTCCTTGAGACAAGTGCTAAAGACTCAATCAATGTGGAGCAGGCTTTCTTAACTATGGCAGCGGAGATTAAGAAGAAGTATCTAATATTTTTCCATTACTTTCTTTGTGCACAACATGAGTTTCATTGTAAGACAAATATTAAGTTTGAGTTGTTTTGAATATGCAGGATGGAAAGTCAACCAAGTGGTAGTAAGTCAGAAAAATCTGTATTAGATATATCTCCCCTCACCGTTCAATTCAATTATTAAATTACTCTCTTTTCTTTTAATCAAATGCTGGAAACAAATATATCTAATACATGAAATATTTGTTAAATGTTGTATGTGTTTCTTTGTTAAATGCTTGAAACAAATATATTTAATACATGAAACATTTGCAGTATTACAAAAACTACCTTCAACTTCTCGACATTATTGTCATCCTCATTGCCTCGTAATCATCTTCTCCTACATGTTTTTCTCGAGCAGGTCATCTAATAATCTCTTCATTTTAATTTGTATGTTTGTCTGTGTAATTTTTATTTAACAATGAGAAGTTTAGAAAAGAGAGAAAAATAATTATTTGCGAAATTATGCAAATTACAAGTGGACAAAAAGCATATACTACAAGTGGACGTGCTCAAAATGCATCAAGTTATGTCTATTATTATCTAAATAATTAGTCGCATTTTTCATGTATTAAATATATTTGTTTCAAATGTTTAACAGAAACATCCACAACATCGGACACCTCTTTCTAATTCCAAGAGTCTAGGATTCATAAAAAAATAACATGAATAAAATATTGTAATCAACTGAAGATCCCACAAATCATAAAATAATAATTTTTAAAATGAAAGATCAAAATAAAAAAAATTAAATAAAAAAACCAAAATTACAATTAAATCAAAATGTGGACAAATTGTTTAATCCAAAAATATTATACGTAATTCAAACTGAAGTATCAAATGGTAATTTACTTGATCCAATAATTCAAATCAAGTCGAGTCAAAAAACTAAGCATTGTTTTTACACACCACACTTTCTTACCAATTCCAAATTCAATGGAGAACCTTCTTTCCGCAAATCATAAACAACCGAAGAGAGAACTCGACGCACCAGAGTCACCACTCTCTTCCACCACCATGGCCTCCGTGGAGCAGCAGCCTCTGAAGAAGCGAAAGCTTCACGACTCTCCACCATCGGAATCACCGCACTCTCCACCGCCACAACCGCCAGGAACCACCGCGCCCATTCTTCAAACCCTACCTCCTCCACCTTTGTCTCAGGAGGAAATTATCGCCAAGCGCAGAAACAAGGACGCAATTCGAAACCTCTTTGAAGGTTACAAGCGAATTAAACGATGTCTCGTCCAGAAACAAGTTCGCTCCACACCTGAACTTGATCAGAACTTTTTCGCTCTCATCGCTTCTTCCAGAGGTAACCTTTCGTTTTACTCCTTTTTGTAGTCTTTGTGTTGTTCAAGGTAGAATTTCTTCGTATATTATGATTTACTTGTCAATTAGGGTTTTAGGGTGTATTTACTGGGGATGAATGTTTTTATCGAGTTTACTGTTGAATTGAAAACCATTGAGGAATCGTTTGTTGTTTGATTTCCATAAAATGTAGTTTCGAGCTCCTTTTAACAAGTGTTTGTAGTATTGAAAATGGAAAAAGAATGATCTCTAATCTTGTTTGGAAATGATATGTGATTGAAATTTCAATTCACGATTGAAATCGTTTGTGTGATAGTGATACATCATACATAGAAGTATCAATCTACATGAGTATATTCACGCGCAATTATTGTTTTGTCTAGGTAGTGGGACTGGGATACACTCATTAGATTGTGAGGTAATATTAAAACCAGGAGTGCGAACAGTGAATAGTTATGGGAGAATTCGACGTAGAATTTAGCATGTTTCAACCTAAAGCCAACAAAATACCTTCGTGCACAAACAAAATAGAATGAGGAATTAATATGATCAATGAAGATTACAAGGAATAAGCCCTAAACACTCAAGTCCTAATCCACTCAAATACTCATTGTGACTGAGTTTTAAAATACTTCACCTGCCAGCCACCACCAAATTAGTAGTAATTCAGTTCAATTTAAGCTCAATCTCTACCTCCACTGACACTTGTAGTAACTGCAACTTTCTGTGCTTTTGTTAGTCTCATAAATCTAGTAGTGTTATCAAATTGCCCCGCCATGGCCGCTATGAAGGATATACATGGCGGTTTTTGGGTTCGCCGCAATGGTAAATATTGGCCGCTATTGCGGGGTTTTCCACCATAATCCGCAATAACAGAGCCGCAAAGCGGCCGCTATGGCGGAATTTTGGCTCTCCGCCATGGACCGCCATCCGCCATCGACAACACTGAAATCTAGCAAGAATGCTTCACGGACCACCACTATATTCACCATTCAGCTGCTGTGTTTCCTGCAGTGAGGTGTTTTTTTTTTTTGGCATGTTAGCATCTAAGATTTTGGAATCTCTCCACTGAAGGCCGAATTAGTTTCAGGAAGCACAGAATATTTAGGTTCCAATATCACCTCAAATAGCCATATTTGTACATCATGTGATGTGATTTTATCACCTAATTAATCACGCAAGCAAGCTATATTCTGTTGCTCTTAATGTAGGAACTGACAGAAAATTTTCCATGATTGGAACTGGAATTCTCTTTTTCTCAAAGTGAAGCTTTTATAATGTGACAGGTTGTACGAGTGTACAAAGAATTGTGGCCGATTTAATTCCTCGATATGCTTGTCACTGTCCAACGGCTTTGGAAGCGGCGGCCAAAGTGGTTATCAATATGCATAACTGGAGTTTGGCATTGATCAGTAAGGAAGAGGATTCCAGTGGTATTGCATTTGAAACTGCTAAAGCCTGTATTTTCGGATTGGCTGATATTTGCCACGCTGCTTCTTCAGTAGCACCAACTTCAGCTGTAGTTAGAGGAATTCGCTCAACAACTTTTCAAAATGTGCTCACCTTTTTTGTTGCCTTATTTGAGGAAAAGGATTTCTTAAGGATGGTTGACAAGAATTTCCTCAAAATGCAAGATAATCCTGAGGCCTTTTCTGAATTGGAACGAAATATTTTAAATCAAGATGATTCTTCGTTGACTAAATTGTCCAAGTTCCGTACATTATGTATACTTTGGATATTTTTCTCTTGTCCAAAAGAATTGCTTGCGGCTTGTTTGGAACTCTTTGAAGCCACCACAAAAGAGGGAACTTCTAACGAAGGAAAGCGTTTTCTGAGCATGGTAACTAGCATGCTTAATGGTGGACCTAAAACTTGTAGCGATTATATTGGGGAAGGCGTCAAAGAGATTGAGGTTGGCGAGAAAGTTATCACCGATGACAACCATATATACGATGCTCGAAAGAGCTGCTTGCTTATGCTGGTAATACTTTGTGTTTGTTATATATATTGGTTTTATGTATTATATTTTTTGTAATTACTTGCTTTTATGGGAAGACCATGCAGTTTTTTAACGTGATCTCTCCCTTGGAAGAATTGCACCTATGCCTTATCTAACATTTAAACTTTAATAGCCTTGTCTTTAAATAGTTGTGCATGTATTATAGAAGTTTAAGTTAACTTGAGGGCTTGTCTTGTAAAGCAGAAAATACTTATTATTGTGCATGTATAATAAAATACTTATTATTGATCTGGAAGACAAAAACCAGGAAGGAGAAATTTGGAATCAAATTTTAAATTACATTTCTCCCCCTGAAGGCGACGGGGGATGAAGGACACACGTTTATGGAAAGCAACATCCGTAGAAAGAAAGTATCGAAGATTTATTGAATAGTAGTAGCATTTATAGCTCTCTTTGCCAGGGGCATAGGTATAACCCAAAAAGATGCACCTAACCACACAAGAGTCCAACTTAGTTGGATGTGGTTTATGAACATGGACAAAAGCAACACACCTGAAGACCCGAGACTCAAAACTCTAGACAATAATAAAACTCTAGACAATAATAAAAACAAACGAGAAATGTGAGAAACAAGACTAAAACTACCTAGAACACAGGATGATACTACATTGGGTAAGGGAAGGCTCAGGGATCTTCTCTCTAGCTCGAGGGTATTCAATACTACATTTTTTTCTTTTCTCATCCCTATTATAAGGAGATTTCCCTCCAATCCTTTGCCCATTTCAGTACTAATTCTATATTTCTCTCTGTTTCCAGAGTGGCTGTTGTTAATGAAATATTGGAATATAACAAGATGTTATATTCCAATATTTCATTCTATTTGGCTTGCACACCACATGGAAAAGTATTTTGAAATATTATTGAATTATGTAAAGAGTACAAACACTAATCTAAATATATAGACTAAACTCTAATTGACGGCTTGATTAATGAGTCTAATGCAAAAGTTGCTGATAACTATAATAGTGTTTTTTTTTTGTTATTTTATTTTCTGCTGTACTAGGCATGTTTGAGCTTTTGGATTGCATGGTCGAATTTTGATATGTTGTTATTAGTTTCTTTCTGTGGGGGCATATACACTGCTGCTGCTGGTAAAAGAGCTCTGTTGAAAACTTAGTCTTTTTTGTTTATATTGTTTAATTTAAAGTTTTATTTCTAATTGCTTCTTACCGGAGAAACTTTTTCATGACCTTTCTCTATAAGGTTCTTAACAAGGACCGCTCACTGCGGAATTGGACTGTGCGTCGATGTAAAAAGTTACTTGACTCGCTCACTAATGCTTCCTTGGAAACTACATCAGTATTGCAAGGAATTCTTGGAATGTTCACTCAGCAGACCGAGTTAGGAGACTGTCAAATAGATAGTGATGAAGATAAATCTGATTCTTCAATTTTCATGAATAGAAAGTATGGGATTCCTAAGATCTTTGAGGAACATGAAAGTATTGGCGAAACATCACAAAAAGGTGATTTTACTGATAATGTTACTTAAATATGTGATAGCTCGTTGCTCTGCAGTTTCTCTTGACAATGTTTCTATATTTAAAGCAGGTTCTCATTTTGATAATGGAGGGATATCAACGTCTGTGGGTGTTGAGAAAGGTGACATGCCCCATGTTAGGTGTCCCACGCCTAGGGACTATGTAAACCATCAGATATTCTCACCTACAGTTAGAACAGCGGTAGATTTCAGGAGTAATTCATTCGATGGTAGAAATGATTTCCCAATTGTTGAGAAAAATCAAGTTTTAAATGCAAATTTCAATTCACCTCGGTCAAGGTCCTCTAGTGGTGCTGTCAGCAATGTTCTGGCTTCTCCAAATCATCATTTTATGTCACCAACTTCATTAGCCAGAAGTCAAATTGTTTGGTGCTGTGACGGGGATCCTGCTGCTGTAGATGTTGTCGCTGCTTCTAAGCAGCTATGGGTAGGTTGTGTAGCACCTGACATGCCTGAAAGCCATATTAGGTTTCAATTAGAGAGGTTTGGTCCTATTGAAAAGTTTATATTCTTCCCTTTGAAAGGATTTGCTTTAGTTGAGTACAGAAGGATAATTGATGCAATAAAGGCTCGACACTTTGCACCTCAAAATTTTCCTTGCCGTGTAAAATTCATGGATATAGGACTTGGTACTAAGGGTGCAATGAATAGTGTGGCAGTTGGCTCTAGTTCTCATATTTATGTTGGAAATATTTCCAGTCAATGGGCTAAGGATGAGATTCTTCATGAATCAAGGAAAGTAGTTTATAAGGGTCCTCTCACATTTATTGATCTTAGCTGTGAGTGTGCATTACTTATGGAGTTTGAAACCCCTGAAGAAGCTGCCTCTGTTATGTTGCATCTGAGACAGCTCCGAAGAGAAAGAAGTAGTTATCACCCACATTTGGGTCCTGGAACAGTTAATGTTGTAAGTGGGCATGCTTATATGGATGGTGCAAGACCTTTGCCCACCCCTGCCCATCTGGACTTCAAGGTCAGCAACTCTGCTGGATCACCTCACGCTCGAACTGTACATGGGAGCCCTGCTGAAAGTAGTCAAGCAAGAATGTCTCACTTGTGTAACATATTAGCTTCATTGCGTGCAAAGTATAATATTAATCAAAACACAGGTCTCAATGATAATTATATGACTGGAAATAATTTTGCTGCTTCCACGCGTGAGGAAGATGCAGTGCCATCCAGCACTCTGTGGATAACTATTCCACATAATAGCTCCCAGTTCCTCACAGATGATGAGCTAATGAGTATTTGCAACCTTGCTATTGGAAACTCTGGTTTCATTGCACGGTTGACACAAGCGAAAATTCACATGGGATGTGGTTGGTTTGTTGAATGTAGTAATGTTGATAGTGCAGTTTCCGTCGTAAAGAATCTGCGGGGTTGTCCAGGATTGTTCTTCCAAATAGAATTCAGGTTACACAGGATTAATCTTTTTCACACACTCACACACAAGCACATTAATATATGTGATGATTTAAGTGTGGTTCCCATTTTTTGTTTTTTGTTTGTAAGCTTGTCTCGATTCCAACCTGCTTCTCACTCTTCCTTAAGTCCTAACAAGAGGCCCCAGAAACAAATGCATGCACACTTATCTTCATTTTCTTAAATGTTCTTGGAATGTTTTATCAGTTATTAGTAGTGTGGGCCTAAACCCATACAAATACAATCCAACAGTAAATTTTCTAGAACTAGTGAGGATGATATTTTTTCCCAAGCACTTGTATAGAAGAAAAGTTGAAATGATCTTTGCAATAAGTTAAATTACTGTAACTAATAACTTCTTTCATAAATTGAAATCAACTTCTGCATTCAGTTGTCAGAAGCTTTCTCATTTAACTTCACACAGTTACCTATAAATTTGTAAAAAAATTTCATGATTTGGAAACTAAATACTTATTAAAGTTGAAAAGCTTCTACAAGCTATAGAAGCTAATTCAAACCAGGACCATGTATATGCACACTGATAATGCTCTCCATTGTTGTAAATTAGTTATGTTTCAAACCACTTTTTGTTGATTTTGAAAATTGTATCCATGTATGGCATGTGATTCTTATTTCTTTCAACAGCTTTTGAATTGTTTTATAACAACTCTTCTGGACAACTAGTAGTATTTACTAATTTGTTTAGTTCTTCATTTTCCATATTTACACAGCAAACCGGGAAATCAGAATGCTGTACCATTTTCAATTAAACCTGAAAACCATGCTATGGAGCTTGTTTCCCCCAGAATAAATGCTGAGAATCATAGTAGTGGTGTATCTGGTGCACCTCTCTCTCAGTCAAACTGGCACTACCCTGATTCTAGGGAGATATCAGAAGTTGGAGTAAGGAAGCCTGATGGTTATGATCATTTATCAGTGGATCCTCATCGAGGTAATATTCTATGGTTATAAGTACAGCCTTTTTGTTTCATGGAATTATGGATTAAATAAAAAAATCAGTTGAAAATTCAATTTCTGGTTTATTACTGTGTCTATTTATTAAATAGAGTGTCTTCTGCACCAGGAAATGCTCCACATTTACACTCTGGAACACGTGGACCTTCCATTCCACCACCACCACAACAAATTCAGTCATCTCCTTTCACCCGCCCTGTTTATGCTCCTCCAAATGGGCCATGGGATCCTCATGGAATAAATAATCAGTTACCTGTCAACCAATTTCAGACAGGTGTAATGCCAAATAATTTTAATGGCAGTCCTTTCATATCTGCTTCAGTAACTCCACTTGCTCAGATACAAGGAACTCCAATGCAATCCTATAACCAGCAGATTCCTCCGTTAATTGTACCACCGTCTCTATCATCTTTGCCACCTCATCAACCTGAAATGCCACCTCCTCACCCACATCCTCCTTCTCCTTCTCTTCCACCTCTACCCCAGACACAACCACCCCCGGTTCCTCCACCACCCGGTTCTCCTCCTCCACCTCCTCCACCCTTGCCTGTCCAAGAACCAGTCGATATGGAATGTTCGGAACAGCCACTGCAGTATCAGTGGCAGGGAAATCTCTGTAAAAGTGGAGTCAGCTACTGTACAATTAATGCATGCAGAGCAGATTCAAATATGTGCAGATATTCTAATGCCATACCCGAGCCTGCCGAGTAAGAAATCATCTTTTGGTTCTTTACTGCTCAGAGTATTTTTTTCCCTAAAAAATATGCTCGTTTAAATTGCTTTTTTCTGCTGCAGATGGCCTACCAAATTAGACATGACTAAACGCACAGATTTGAGGCATGTGCAATCAACATTTGCTGCTACGCCATCTCATAGAGTGAGTTTTCAAATATCCTATGGGGGTGTTCCCTGCCTTCTCAAACATCGCATGCTTGCTATATCATGAATGTGTACCCAATTTGTTAATTTAATTGATGTTTTATCATAGCCTATTACTTAAGATGTGTATCCTTACTCTCGGTGTCTGATCTTAGATTTCTGTAGCTCAATATTAAAGGAGTATGTTTAATTGAGCTCATGTAGTCCTTTCTGCATCCTATGGTTCTTATCATCCCTCTTGTAACTAACATAACTTCCGCTATAACTAACTGACAGCTGCTAGTTAGTTGGGTTACCATCAGCTTCTAGACCAATCTATAAATAGATTGTAGCTCAACACAATTCTTTAGCAATTACATTGAAGCTCATTTCAGAAAATATAATTGTTCAGTTTTCTACCAGATTTTCTCTATCTAGTTTACATTTCTAATACTCAGGGCCATGAAACATATTTGTATGTACTGCCATGCCATTCCATGAACCTGTCTTTATTGTGTTGACTTCTGATGCAGAGGGAAGTATGCCGTTTAATCCCATCTTCAACAAGTAACGACAGAAGGGTATGTTTTCTTTTCATCATTTATTTTTCATTTCAAGATGGCATTGTCTTACAAATGTGCACTGAAGCTGATTTTAGTTTTATCCTTACAGTATGTTATTACTCATTTAGTGAGACTTCTATGAGCTGCTAAATTATCTTACAAGTTCTAGTCTATCATGTTAAAATCCCTTTGAGGGATATTGTCATAGTTTTTGCTGAATCCTGTTCTGAGCAAGGAATGAGAGAGCTGTTTTTAACTGCTGGCTTACATAACATTTATCCCATTTAAGTATATTAAACAAAACATATCCTGTCTCTTGGTCCCTTCTTTAAGGATTTGGTTCTTTTTAAGTGATGTGTTTGTCTTTTAGTAGTAAAGTGTAGTGCAAGATATAATAGATTAAATACTAATCCCCCTGTTCAAAGGGAAATCAAGAAACAAATGCAACAACAGTAAGCAAGAAACATGGAAAGTAATCTTAGGAGATAGTCTAAGATTGAAAACTGATCCTCAAAGATAAATAGAGTATTCTAGCATAATATCAAGATATTATGAGTTACACCCTCTGGACACTATTATAAGCAACTTTTACTTTTTTGGTACATTTGACTATCAATGTATTTGGACCAAAAATGTATTGATAGTCAAATGTACCAAAAAAGTAAAGTTGCTTATAATAGTGTCCGGAGGGTGTATTATTTTATTTTCCAACACTGTCCCTCAAACTAAAGCTTACTAATGCATTGTCCCACATAAAAAATAAATAGAAAACCAAACAAAATTTGAGCTCCACCAATAATAATGGTTGGGAAGACGACTCAAGGATGTCAGAAAAATCAGAGAGAATTGCTATAATAAAACCTAGCCATACAGCTGGAATGACCGTCAGCCTTAAAGAAATTTCATGGCAGACAATTGATTGAAGCAAGGTTCGTCCTTCCCAAAATATTTAAGTTGATGATAAGTATTAGAATTGCTTCTATGACATAGACAAAGCTAGTACATTTGGGGCGAAGATGGGACCAGTGCTTCTGGAACCAATGCTGAGGCCAATGTATCTGGGAAGAACATGGTGCAAGTGCATCTGGGACAACACCGGGTTAGCAAATACACAATGCTCATGAATAGCGACTTAGAAGTTGCAGTAATAAAAGGAACTCTAAATTGAGGTTGCAACAACAGGAGTCATGATCGGTCATAGGAGAAAGAAAAATGCATCCAAAACAGGAGAGTGGAGAGATAAAAGGTTTGTTTCCATTGGAGCCTTGGTGCCAGCGGCACGGAACACAAAACTGAGGCCGGATCTAGAACCATGATAGCAAGATGACACTGTCGCTGAAGATCCAGTTGATCGAATGATGGATGCACTGTCACACGCAGCAGTGATGGGGAAAAAGTGAGAAGGCACTTAGGGTCAAACCAAACTTTGGATACCATGTTGAAGTTATTAGAGTATAGGAGTAGTTGAGATATGTAGTTTAACTCTATAAAACTCTTCTAAATGACTGACATGTATCAGTTCTAGCATTAGGTGACCCGCTATAGCAGGTCATACAGTTGCAACTATAAAAGCAACTGTTGATCTCATTTTGTAAACAACTTTTCATAATAACAGAGTTCAGTTATAACTGAAAAGGAAGAGTGCACTATGATTTCTATCAGAAGTTGTGGGATTTTAGATAAAAGGAGAAGATAAAATAACTTTTGAATATTATTGATAATAACTTTGTATTGACTTGATCTTGACTTTGAATACTAATCCCTATTTCTAGGGAAATCAATATGCAAGATATTCTAAGAAAAGCTAAGGTTGCAAACTGATCCTAGGAGATAAACCAAAAAATTCTAGCATAATAGATATTTTATTTTCTAACAAGTAATATTGATATTCCAATTAACAGTTATAAATGTTACACTTTGCTCTCTAGGTTTCACCCTTCAGTGGAGAGAAGCCAAATTCCTTTTTCTTTCAACATCCTTGCAACATTATAAATCATTGACACATTACAACTATGAACATTACGTTTACATATATATGAGTGAGAGTTGGAATTTGATTTGTCCTTGTGTTAACCTTGTATCTGTCAACCAGTTTCAGGATTTCGTATCATACTTAAAACAGAGGGATTGTGCTGGAGTTATTAAAATCCCAGCTTCAAAATCCATATGGGCAAGGCTGCTATTTATACTTCCTCATTCACTTGAAACATGCTCGTTGTTGTCCATTGCACCCGATCCATCTGAGTGCCTAATTGCTTTGGTTTTACCCAAAGAAACAAACTTTGAGTGGGAATGATGTCTGTCCTTAGTCACAGGGTAAGATCATTTAGCAAAACAAATGTATGTATGCTTTTTTATGTTATTTGCTTGACATGTAGGATTCTTTTTAGAGAAGCAAATTGGTATAATTTTGGGATGGGATTCTTGCCTATAATGGATCAGGCCAAATATAAAAAAGTATATAATATGGTATCTGATCCTCTTCAAGATAGGTTACCTGCTATCAGATTTCGACTATCGGACCATTCGGCTCATGCTATTGGATGTCAGGTCCTGAATATGAGGGATGTGTGTTAGGAGTCCTACATTTGATGAGAGATAATCTTAATATGTTTATAAATAGAAGTAATCCCCACTTTATATAACCGATTTGTAAGGGGAGCAGTGTCAGTTTTTATAAGTTCTAATAAGGTTTTATCTTTAATTTATGTGGGACTTGGCGTGTGGATATAAAATGTTGGTGGTCTGAATTGATTGGCTATGATACCATCTTAAAATTTCGATTGGATCTAATTCAACTTTACAAAATAAGTTTCGGAAAGTGAAGATTGGTTCTATTTATAAATATATATTGTGTTTATCTCATTAAATGTGAGACTCTTAAAAGTGACATGTTAAGTTCATTATCATCTTTTATCAGACAATAGTTTCTTTAATTTTGGTTGTGTAGAGGTGTCAACATGGCTCAATTTGGCCCCACCTAGATTGGTTAACAATGGTTTGCAGGTTGGGTGAGTTGGTTCATTACAGGTTTTATGGTCTAGCGAGTTGGATGTACACCAATATTTTCCTTCTATTCCGGCCGGCTCAAGGTCAAGGTCGTATACAGAGAAATTGAACATTTTGTTCATTTTTTAAGTCAGTGGATTGGCCTGGATTGACCAGGGGTAATTAACCTCAACCCACAGGCTTAGTGGTCTACTGACGATATTATTACAAAATTACAAATGGATATGAAGTTACTATCGCTTATCATTTGTGAAGTTTTACACTAGTTTTTAAAATCATGCTAATGAAATACACCAAGTTTAATCTTATTCAATAGAAATGTATAAGATGTTAATTTTTACATATTTCAGTGACATCAACTAATTTTAGTTTATGTAAGATTTCATAGATATTAAATATCGAGCCAACAGTAAACTTTGCAACATAAATATCTGATAAAAGGTTATTTATGGATCAAATCATCCAAGCATTGTAGTAGTATATTTTGGTGATCTATTTTGTGTATTCTAAATAATTGGTTGATTACAAAACTAATAGGAACAATTGACATATTCAAATTTATTTATAGAGATTTGATATTTTTAATTCAACTTAAACATTTTTTAGCCTAATAAACTAGATACCCAATACAAGGCTACAAAAGACATGGATTCCGTTCATATTTGAATGCTTGTTTGTTTAGCATCTTAGTCACTGCTTTAACAGGCTACCATTGATGTACTGAATTATAAAAAAAAAAGTTGACTATCATATAAAAAAGGTTGTTTCTTTAAAGTAGCTGATGATTAAGGTTTACATTTTACCAGGATCAAATATTAATGATATGTTTGAGTTGCTGGTATAGAATGAAAAGAAGTGAAATGGAATGGAATTAGATAACATAGTTTTAAAAATCACTAGATTCCATTCCATTCGACTCTCAAACCAAAAAATTCCCATAGGATTTACTGTAAGATGTACTTTGGAAATTTAAAAGGTACAGCCACAACAAAGGTAGAAAGAAGACAGCATGGTAACCAACACAATGGTTTCAAACACCATCATAATCTTATAAATCGCATAATTTATAAAGGGAAATGGCCAATAATGCCTCTTCCACCTAAATGAAGACAAAAAATTCTTGCACCTCCATGATTTCTCTCGTAGTCTCTTAAACAACCATCTTTTCATACCTCCCATGTTCATGCACTACACCCTCTCAATAATCTCTGTGTTTTTTTGTCTTGGTGCCTTTCATGTAAAAGAAATAAAATCAGTTATATATACGATATAAACGTTAGTGAAGGATTGAGGAATTATTATTTTTCCTAGTTCATAAAATGCGGCCGATTCTCAGACCAATATTGCTTTCTTAATTCTATGAACTTAGCAAAAGATGCTTTGGAAACTAGAGACTAAAGAATATGTTGAAACAGAGTATAATATAATTATAATACTAACGGTAATGGAAGAGTAACCTTTGTTAGCGAGAAGATTTGAGTCGGTGCACGAGGTCAGCTTGCACTTGATAATGTCTGGAATCTACCGAAAGCTTAACCATACACTTTTAACTTTCTGTTTTGTTATTCCATTCAAACTGCAATAGGATATATTTATGGAATGAGGACCTCCGAATTCATATATGTGTGAATTTGATTGAGATTTCTCCCCTCTAAACTCTCAAACAAAATCTAAATATTTATTATTGGTAATTCACGATTAATTTATGACTAATAATGTTTAATAAATGATGCTTAAATGACAATGAAATAATCAAGTGCAAATATATTAGAGCTTATGTGTGTATTGGGTCGTGCATTGATTTGGATGTTGATGTAGCCTATAATTTTTAGGGTGTTGTTTACTCCATCGCGTGTAGTGATCACATACTCTGAAAACATCAAAATGTCAATTGTATAATTTGAATTTTAAAATTTAGATGCTGTCTATTATACTCCATATCACTTAATCAAAGTGACATTTTTTTTAATAAAAAAAAAAAGCTCTAGATTTCAATGTTCGAATTAAAATTGCATGTGTATTTATTTATCTTTTATTACAACAGAGAAAAACACAATTTTAAATTTCAATCTTCAGATTAATCCCATGAAAATATTTTACTAATTAGAAAGTTTTTGATATTTTTTTAATAAATCTTATATTACAAGTCATTTATAAATCAATCTCACTATAAATCATAAATATTTGTCGTTTAATAATAAGATTAAAATAGAAAAATTAATGTGTATATCTGAATGTCAAAATGTCAAAAATGTTAAATACAAAATGTCAAAATGTCATAATCAAAGTATCAGAATATATAATGTAAAAGACAACTATTGTGTGACGTCCACGTTCCTTCTCTGTCGCCGGTACTGTAACGTGTGTTGAGAGTGGCCATCTGAAGAATGTCTTCCTCAAACTCCCTCCTAGATATGGCCTCACTCCCAATGGCCATAATACAGTGACATATCGACAACACATCAATGACATAGTCCGTCATTGCCTGCTCCTCCTCTAAGTTCTCTTAATGAGTTGGTCTGGGATGATCTCCTTCTACATCTGGTGTAATGTACAAATGTGACATTACTAGATGTAGTCGTATACCGTACTCTATGGACAAGGAGATGGAACACGACATACATTCTCTATAATTAGATGATAGCAATACTCTACAAAAACCCTACCAACATACCTGCAGAGAACAATGGCAAGATCAACAACAATGAATTATTTGGGCATATCTTGCATATACTTGAATCATTGTTTAAATGACTCAGATAAATGTGGATACATAAGTCGAGACCTACATGTCATCTATCTAGAGTACAAGGCTATCATATCCACATGTCACATGTCTCACGGTGCTCACCGTATGATATGAAGCAAATATTATCCAACATAATATGGTCAAGAGTAACTCAAAAAGATCCGATCTCTTGATTCACTATCAACGGGATGATTCAACGTGCACATGACAAAGTCTCATAGTAGTCTTTCACATATATCTTAATATTGGTGGATCTATACCTTAAAAGAAAGAGGTTTAATATGTTTTTTTTTTGAGTTGAAGATGTATGAGGCATGATGCATCATCAAGTGTGATGGGCATCTCACAAATCAAAAGATGAAATAAATATTTTTATGTGTGTCATTTCTCTATAAAAGTAGACAATAACTCATGGTTAATACAATCATATTAAGTCATGCAACTCAGATAACTGCAAGACATCCTGAAATCATGACTCATGAGGTTGCGTCACATTTGCAGCCTTCCTACAGTGGTTGATACATTTGAACATATCATAATATTGGGAAAAAAGTACATCAATCGTCAGAAAGTGCAAATATTATAACACATGCATTAAAAGAGTAATTAAATATTTATGCTACATCTTCCTCCCACACGTGCCTAGGATCATGGTCAAGATACATGGGAAACAATGAATGGTTTGAGAAGCCTCCCAAGAAACCATCAGGCACATCACCATATGGGGCATCTGAGGCAGCATGGGCTTTTGGAGCAACATAGGTTACATGAATCCGAGAAGACGATATTGGAGTCACGTGAACTCGAAAAGATGATCCATCACCAACAAACAAATTCTCTCAAACTGCAAGTTGCAAGGATCTAACTTTCTCCTTACGAACAAAGTCATGTTGAACTAATCTACCATGCCTCAATCTTTCTTAATTGTAAAATATTTTTTCTACAATCAAACAAGTGCAAAAATATGTCATAAAAACAAAAAACAACGAAGTATAACCAACACAAAAACAAACCAATCCGAAAAATAGATAACATGAAATTGAATTTTTCTTCTGACTCAGGATAAAAAATTCAAATTTTGGACATCGCTAAACCAAAAATACAAAACAGAAACAAAACATGCACAAACTCTAAATTCTAATGTTCAAATTTTCAAAGCAAAGAAGTTTATGACAAACAAAAATAAAATATATATTGCATTTAAAACTATTGTATCATATCTATAAACTATTTATGTAATACATGCATGAGAAATTAAAAAAAAAAAAACGTGTAACTTATCAAAGTAATCGAGTAGAATTTTAAATACATGCAATGTAGTGAACTAGAGATATACCAAACTTCAATGTAATAAAGTACAAGTTCTGAGAAAACTCTAATATAAATAGATTTTGTCTATTAAAATTACGGATAAAAAAAAATTTGCAATGAACAAAACCAAACAAAATAAATTACAAAAACTAGAATAAGAAAATAAAATATTTACATACCAATTATATATTTAAACATTTTTTTATTAGTTTATATTCAATTAGTGA